TCTCTCTCTCTCTCTCTCTCTCTCTCTCTCTCTCTCTCTCTCTAACGCACTCACCGTGTCGCGCGTCGGGCGGCGTCGGGCGGCGTAGGCGGGTGGGGGCTTCGACGACGAACGGGGGCTTCGGGCGGCGTGTAGGCGGGTGGGGGCTTCGACGACGAACGGGGGCTTCGCACACTCACGGCGACAACGAACACTGGCGTCGACTTTGTTGGCGGGAAACAAGATCCAGCACACACAAAAAAAAGGGCTGGTAGGCCCCAGTTGAACGATTTCAAATTCCGCCCATCTGGGCCGTCGATCCTCAAGCGGGGATTTGAACTCATTCAAAAGGGGCCTACCGGCCCTTCTGTTTCTGTTTTCGTACATCTACGGCTTCCTTGGGGGGGGGGAAGGCCCCCCGCGAAGAAGAAGAAAAAAAAAACAATCCCCTCTGTGATGCGCTGGGGTCGCCCGGTGGCCGACCGGGCGGGACGACCGGCCAGGCGGCCCGGCCCCCCGCCCGGGCGACGAGCCGGGCGCCGGGCGGCCCGGAGTGCAGCCTAGGTATTTATTGATTTTATTGGTTTATGTTCTTTCAATTTTTTTTCATTTCTGCTTTTCGGGAGTTTTGTGATAGATAAGCGCAATGTTACCATCTTCCGCGGTTGTAGCAGAATGTCCATACGAAACGCGTGTGTGTGTTTCTGTTTAGGGGGTTCATGGGTGACTGTTCGGGTGACTGTTCGGGTGACTGTTCGGGTGACTATTCGGGTGACTGTTCGGCTGAAGTTCGGGTGACAAGACACCGCTATCAGAGAGAGAGAGAGAGAGTCCGAGCCCCAGGTGACTGTTCGGGTGACTGCTCGGGTCACAACACACCGCGTGTTCAGTAACCGCAAGAGTGCGTACATGGGTGACGCATCGGGTCACTTCTCGGGTGACAACACACTGCATCCTGTCATCGATAGACTCCCTCGATGGGTGACTGTTGGGGTCACTGTTCGGGTGTCACGACAACGCATTGTGTCAGAGAGAGAGATAGTCCGTACACGGGTGACTGTTCGGGTGACAAGATACGTTGATGTGTGTTCGGTCGGCACATATACGTTCCTTCGAACAAGGGAAGGGAAAAAAAAATCTGGAGAGAGAGAGAGAGAGAGAGAGAGAGAGAGAGAGAGAGAGAGAGATGACTGGCCCTCTGTGACAACTATTTAACCCGGTTCTGCCTGGCTACGTGCGACCCGGAGATCTGCTTCAGCAGCCTCTTAACCTTTTCATCGCATCGTCTCTTTCTTGAATCGCCTCACGCAACGCACAGGAACTGTCAGCAAATCTCGCTCGCATATCATCCGCCATCCGTCTCCATCGATCTATCTGGCGCCGTATCTGCATGTTGTTAATGACGAAGTCGTCAGCACTGTCGCAAAGTGTCACGCGAGTCACGCAGCCTTTTCAGTACAGAAATGCCCATCTCCGGGCATTGATGTTCTCGAGGGAGATGTCAGTTTCAAAAATCGTCCTCCTGGTCCCCAATATCACGGTGATGCTATCTCCCCTCTCCACCAAAAAACGGTGTAGCTGTTCCACCTCCTTTTTCGTGTTTTCCATGTAGTCTATCAATGCACGTCTCTCGTACACGAAGTCCCTGCATTGATCGCCGGCCGTCATAGCTGCCACTGAACATGAGCGGAAATGTGACACAACGCTAGGCACCGACCAATGCTGCACAACTTAAACGCTAGGCACTGACCAACGCTCCACCTATGCAACCTCCCAGCTAAGTACAGTAATGCACCGCCAACAGTGTTTTCACTAACAACCTAATATAGCGATAAACAGACCTGGAGGAGAACACAGAGCCACTATTTCCTGTCAAGCTTCCCGCCGGACTTCCCACAAACGGAGGACCTCGGTGCACAGTGCGTCTCTCACGGCCTGCCCGCGTTCCCGACCGAACATGGACTCGAGTGGAAAACCGTCCACACGCCTGTCAACATCCGGATGTGGACAGGTCCCACCAAATGAAGCATCACTCACTTCGCCGTCCGCTTTGGGCATATCACCCCAATCCTGACGCAGGTTATGGAGGATACAACAGGCGCGAAACTCCAACCTCTCCCTTGTAATGTCGGTAAGATGTGGCCGATAGAAGAATTGGAAGCGCATCTTGAACACCCCGAAGAATCGCTCCATGCAAGACGTGACTATTTTATGAAGAGCGTCGAACTGTTGCATCGCCCGCGTGAGTCGTGGTTGACGGTCGTATGGCATGACAAGCCAAGGAAGACTAGGATACCCGCCATTGCCGAGCAAGTACCCGCCAGGCACACCGGGGATGGAAGGCCGTTCGGCCACAAATGGATCTTCTGGATCGTCTACGAACAGTGACCCCTTCAGGGCTCGCCTGTACAATAACATGTTTTTCAAAACACGTGCATCCCCAACAGTCCCCGGAAAGCCGTAGCAGAGATCAAGGATCTTGAGCTCCGAATCGACCACCAGTTGTGCAACAATCGAGAACCGGTTGTGCCGTCCGGAGCAATAGTCGTCGCCATCCTTCAATCGAGGTTTATCCATATACACATGGGTGCAGTCGATACACCCCCAGCAATTTGGAAAACCCAATCCCTCAAACTTCCACATTCGGCGATGACGGTCTTCGAAGCCCCCAAAGCTAACAACATTCGGATACGATGCATGAAAGGCCTCCGCCACTTCTCTGATGGCTCGCAACGCGCTCGTTTTGCCCATCCCATATGCTGAGCAACTGTGCCAGTGAGAGTCACCGTGGCCCCATCTATGGATAGCGTACGCGAGTTTCTTTGCTGGAGGCAACGGCAACCTGAATCTTGTCGCCTCCTTCTCGAGAAGTGGACCGACCTTTTGTAACAGTTTATTCAATGTTGACCGACGCATGTGCAGCAGCCCTATGTAATGATCGTTCTCGGCATAATCGGCGATCTGAAGATCGCTCCATAATCCACCTGATCGCCGCATGACCCACCACCTAGGCGAACGCAGTGGAAAAAGATTGCAGATTTCAACAATAGTTGGCCACAGCCAAAGTAGACTGCGCCGTCCACTCCCGTGCTCGTCATCATCTTCTCCTCCACCGAACAGGGTGCGATCAACCAGCGGTCTCATTGTCCGGGAACCCAGCAGCACATCCAAGCTTTGAAATGCATCCTCGCCCATCCTACCGGCGATGGCCATCACTGCGACAGCGAGCTCTTCTCGCTGTCTCCTTCTAAGGCGTGGCATTGTGAGACGGCAGTAGGCTACCCCCCTCCCCCCCCTCCCAATAGCAATTCAACCCCTCCTCCGCAACCCCCCAATAGTCGGCCTCACACCCTTCCTCGCTAATGGACCAACGTAGCGAGCCGTGCATCCGGGGAGAGGCAAAATTAAAGTATAGAGTAGCACGAGTCCCACCTCGTGACGGTACCTCGCCGTGGACATGCGTGATCGGGCCCCCGCTCCCGTGCGCAATGCATGATACAACAGCTGCTTGAAGGCGCCCGTTTGTGGCAACCACCGTACATCCCTGCCGCAATCGTATTAACACCACAACGAACACCAGCCGGCCTTGCGGCAAATGGAAAGAGGTGTGAGGTACCGGCTATACTGTTTCCACTCTACGGGAGGCCTTATCGTTTGAACCACAGGGAAGACCATGCACATGGTGACATGATACGGCCAGATGCACCTAAAGAGGCTGGTGGGCCGGTCGCATTCAGATGTACCGCGAAGGCATTGCCCAACTTGGAGGGTTGCTCTGTCGAACGGGGACACCCATGAAGTGTGGATGCACTTGATGTACTGTCATGACGTGGATGTCAGACTGATCTTTTTATTTTTTGTTGGCCTTATTTCTTTGCATTTCTGAAAATAAAAAAAAGGATTCTTTATATGTTTCTTTAAAAGAAACGGCCGCCACACACCGTTTTACGCGATGCTAGTGGGTCAAGGCTCCGGTGGTTCGTGGCGGGTCCTTTTTTTTTTTTTTTTAATGCAAAAAAAGAATGC